CTCTACGTCACACATTTAACATTTCTTTTATTGTAATTCAGATTATGCGGTGCGCTCGCTGCGCTACTCTGGCCTGCCCAGTGGTGCTGTTTCTGCTGTCGCTCTCTCTACTGCCTCTCGCTATAATAAACCGCCCCTGCCCTGCCTCGCCTGCTTCCTCCTCTGGTCAGTAACACAAATGCACACAAACTGGATTTGTCCTTTATTTGTACGAATCCAAGCAATCAAATGTTTTGCACATCTGCGTTGGTTTAAACACTTTTGTGCATTAATTTGTGAACAAAATCATACCTTTCGCGAAAAAAATTGTCCGAAAGGAAAGAAGGTTTAACTTATCACGAACGTGTGCACAAAACATACAAATACATTTAGCGTGTACTTACGCCGACTCTTTGAAGCAATCAAGTTTTCAGTCCAACAGTCAACGTCAACACTCTTCCTACAGAGTTCAAATGTTAGTGAACCAGCTGCGTGTGCCTACACACAAACTGGATTTGTATTTTTACGATGCAAGGCTGTCACATTTTGCTGCACATACTGCAGTAGGGTGACTGCTACAGGCGCTCAGGAGGCAACAGACTCCACACAGCTGCTTAGCGAGTGGCCTATCCAGTACGTAGCAAGCGCAACCAACCTTAAACTGAGAATTATATTGACTTCGTTGGGGTGGGGAAACGGGTGCAGTGCCAGTGCTGGAAGGGGGCGGAGTGAAGGGTTTGCTGCGTTGACAAATTGAGCGGAACTCCAGATACCTTGAGACGACAGTCAACGCAATGTTCGAGCGAGTAGACTGCGGTAGACTGGACGCTCATAGCATTTCCCCGTTTGTGCCCCAGGTCTGTCTGCGGTCCCAGATGGGTTGTCCGTGCCTGCAGAGAGCGCCATCATGAGCCGTCTGTTCAGCATGTCCGCTGTAAACGCTGTGAACAACAGTGAGCCAACCAGCACGTCGCACCGCTCTGCCAGCTCAGCTAGCGTGGACTGGCAGGAGTATAACAACTGTTTGGAACAGCAGGTGAGTCCTCGCGCGAGTCCATGTTGTGTTGGTGTGCGTAACCTAGTGAGAAATGGAGTTTCAAATCAAAGTCGATTCGACGTCGATATCGAAATTTCGTCGATTAAGTGGACAAAATCGAGTCGATGTCGAATTTGCCACGAGCGATGGCTATCGACCATTTATCCATATTGCATTTCTGACTGTGTTGTCCGATAGTTGTGTCTGATAGTCCCTCCACCCCCACACGTGTTCCAGTGCAGCACGACCATCTGCAGTGAATGCCGGGATGATTGGCGGTGCAAGGCCAAGTGCAGGCACAGCTGCAAATGCGACTGCTTCGGCCTCCCGGGCAGCAGCCTCGCCACGTACGGCCTGTTCGGCAAGTGCTACTGGGAGAGGGGATGCAGCCCCAAGCGGGAGACGTGCAGGCACAACTGCGAATCTCACGACTGCGAGAACTCTTGCGAAATGGACTACCTGAAGTGCTACTGCGAGTGCAGTCAACAGCTTGTCGGTGAAACCAGCGCAGAGGCCGGCAGCTCAGTTGGACTTGAAGACAGTAACGACATCGGGATTGCACTCAGAAGCACGGACGGGGTTCCTCTCATTACAACCAGGCTTGCAGCCGGGCTTGCAATCAGTAGCACAGCCGAGACTATACTCAATAGCACAACTGGGATTGCGCTTAAAAGCACACCTAGGGTCGTGGCCAGTAGCACAAGCACGACTGGGCCCAGCAAAACGGCCGCGTTTGCGACAAGTGGCACAACAACCGGAACCGGAGACAGTAACGCAGCTCAGACCTTTTCAAGCACTCCCAGCAGCACAAACGTCGTGCCGGGGTCTGGCATCACAACCGTGGGTGAGCCAAGCAGCACTACCAAATCAGCAACCGAGAAAATGAGAGAACTTGTTTTATGTTACTCCGAAGATCGACGGGTGAGTGTTATATTCGTATCTCTTCATGCAAAAGAGTCTCCGCCTATGCCGCCTCTTTCTTCCAGTAAGCCAATATCTATACTTTGCATATGTTTCAGTGCTATGATGCAGAGACATGCAGTGAATGCGAAGGCGATTGGGAGTGTGAAGAGAAGTGCAGAACCAACTGTGTGTGCGGTTGCTACGGCATCCCCGGGACCAGCCTACACTCGCGAGACCTGTGGTCGCAATGCTCCGAAGACAGAGAATGCGAAAGGAAACGACAGGCTTGTAAAGACAGCTGTAGAACCGAGGAGTGTGTGGATTCGTGCGAACTGAACTAAAAGCAGTGTGACTGCGAGTGCAACCAATTGCGCAGAAACGAGACAAGCGCTGCGACGCACAACCAGTATGAAAGTTACCGTTCTTGCTATAACGAGCAAAAGGTGAGTATAAGTAGTCATTGCACTGAAAATGCAAGAGTCAGATATCTTGCTCTCAGAAGAGCGAGATCAGTGACACAAAAAATATCGCTCTCCTGAGGGCGTGATATCTGACTCTCACTAACTTTGAGTAACGCTCTTTCTTTCGCGTACATGGCATGGCTGACTATTGGGTTTACAGTGCTGCTCTCCTCCCACATGTTCCAGTGCGATGAACTATCCTGCGCCGAATGCGGAGGCGATTGGCAGTGCGAAGAAAAGTGCAGAGCCAACTGTCAATGTGGTTGCTACGGCATCCCCGGGACCAGCCTACACTCGCGAGACCTGTGGTGGGAGTGCTTCAAAGACAAAGAATGCTCACAGAAGGAACAGGCGTGTAGTGAGTCCTGTACATCCCAGGACTGTAGGGATTTGTGCAACATGGATTACCTGAAGTGCGACTGCGAGTGCAACCAACTGCGCAGAAACGACACCAGCGCTGCGACGCACAAGTAGCATGAGCACTGAAGAAAATTTAGAAGGAATTACACTGCAAAAAATAACTGCAAAAAATGACGGCTAGACCCGCAAAGTATTTTCCGGTGGTTTCCGCTTTTTGAACGGCACTGAGTGGGTACGGACCCACAGTACCTCCGTTTGAGTGCTACGCAGTCGGAAAACGGTTCTTCCGTACCTCTTTTTTGAGGGTAACGGTGAAGCCCTTTAACGGATATGTGGTGAAAAGTCAGTGGATACGGTCTCTCCTCCGTACTCTGGACTCTGTAGCATGTTTCAGTTTGGCAGTGACGGTGCACCGTGCCTGATCCCTCTCTCATTTTTTTTAACAGTGTATCCACTTCCTTCGTGGCAACGCTCCTTTGCCCCAGAGTCTTCGATAAATTTACAGACGCGAATAGCCGGTAAATCCCCCACCCAGCCGCCCAGTAGTGGGGAAATTTCGAGGAGGCCACACTGTAAATTGCTTACGAACAATAGATTCGTAATGCAAACCAAAACGTTCGTAGCTTACGAAGGATTTTGAAGCGTTGTATTACGAACTAATTGTTTGTAAGCTTACGAACAAATAGTTCGTAATGCAAACCGATTGTTCGTAAGACCCTGTCTAGGCTTACAAACAATCGCTTTGCAAAACGAACAATTTCTTTGCAATACAAAGAACGAAAATTGTTCGTAACATTGCAAAGTATTTAGTTCGTAAACTTTTTACAGTGCACAACTCTAGATATCATGTGTACACCATCCTTGAAATCCCTCCGAATAAATCATTTGAAATCTACATGCAATCATAAAATTATGCGTAATCTATCAATAGCTTGAAATCCACTTAAATTGTATGTGAAATCCTTCGAAGTCTACCGAAATACTGTGAAATCCACCAAAATCACGTGATATCCGCTGAGATCATTGTCAATCTTTTTATCTTTTGAATCAGGCAATCAGGCGTAATCTGCCGGCAGGTTAAGCGTTAAATCTTTAAAAATACTATGCGACATCCTTAAAAACCTGTGACCTCCTGCATTTCATGAAATCATCTACAACCAAAGAGAGAAGTCGCGGCCCCCTCGGTAAATTTACAAAATTATGTGGTTGGGAAAGGAGTCTTTCCAACAAGCCAAGGAAACTTACTAGGCCTATGTGGGCAGGAAAGTAATCTTGGATGACCCATCGTCTGCGAATTTTTATGTTCGCGTTTACGAGGATAACTTTCGTGCCCATCACTTGGCAAATATCCAGCCCAGGGTAAGGAAGGTGGCGTTACCACACCTCTGGGAATTCCCTATCCTTGTAGGGAAAGGGGCGCGGAAAGAGGTCACCCGCTCCCAGAACCAGACGACTCCCTCACAACAAGTGAAATTTCAGCCTGCGGTATGCAAAGATTTTCAGAAATGTGAGACCTATCCAATCCACAGCTCACAGCTCGCAGGCGCCTGGGAGGTAGGCCGTTCACGACCGGCGTGCAATGCGGGTCGGCCTATCCACAGCTTCCAGGCGCCTGGAAGGTAGGACGCCGGTCACGGCCTGCGTGCAGTGCGGGCATTTAGGATCACAATGCAACTTTCTAGAAAACTTTAACAAGCCACAAGCCAGTCCATTAAAGTGTGAAAACTGTGAGTAGAATCTCAAAAAAATATTCGACCAATAGCCTATTTCGGACTGTCTGAATAATCCACCGATAAACGCCGAATCCACGTCGAATCGGCCGATTTTGGGTTGGTTATTTGAGGCGTTACCTTGGACATTCGAACGTTTCTCCAAAAATGCCAAACAAATAGATATTAAAAACACATCGCACAAATGCCATTGCCAACGATATTTTAAAGTGTATAGGAATCCAACAAGTACTCTCATATAACGATGTCCGATTCCATAGACATTTACAATGTCATTGAACGATCTCATATGTCTGTTATGTGATGTAGTAGTATTGTCACACAACACTACACAATACTCCATTACATGACAATGTCTGTCATAAAGGCAGTGTAGGATATCTATATCACCTTGATCTCAAATATGACGTTAAGGTTTTGAGTTCCTCTAGTGATATCGGTAGCATATCTATCCGACAAACTTTTCTAGTATCACACTGTAAATTGCTTACGAACAATAGATTCGTAATGCAAACCAAAACGTTCGTAGCTTACGAAGGATTTTGAAGCGTTGTATTACGAACTAATTGTTTGTAAGCTTACGAACAAATAGTTCGTAATGCAAACCGATTGTTCGTAAGACCCTGTCTAGGCTTACAAACAATCGCTTTGCAAAACGAACAATTTCTTTGCAATACAAAGAACGAAAATTGTTCGTAACATTGCAAAGTATTTAGTTCGTAAACTTTTTACAGTGTGGGCTGCTTAATGGGCCTTCTCTTCCCCAGCTGTCAAAAGTATTCGAGGGATATCTGACGAAAAGAATCCTCAGAGTTATGGCTGGAGAAGATTTCAATTCCAAATAGGGGATCGGAGTTAGTTCAGACTGAAGCACCCCAAAGGAGTGTGTCCTCCTTTATTTGCATAATGTATCCCTACCCAGATGATCGTTTTTGTAATTGAAGCATAACAAGATGCGTGGTTTTGAAATCGTACCAATGCGTGTTGTTTGTAAGTATTTGTTTGTTTGTTCTGAATCCAACCTACGACAAACGAAAAAAAAAAAAAACGAAAAAAAATAACAAACAAACAAATTCTGTACTTACAAACAACGTGATTTTAGCAGTATCTTCATGCAAAAGCCAACATCAGGCGCGCGTGGCGCGTGGGGCTACACGCAGAAAAAAAAATCGTGACTCTGCTAAGTTTTTAGCACCGGGGCTAAAACATCAACTGAATAGACTCGGCTAATTTATTTAGCACCAGGGCTAATTATTTAGCCATCCAGTTAACCGCACCGTTAATTAACTGTGTAGCTAATGACACTTTAGCAACAGCTAAATATTTTTACACACAGCTAATTTTTTTGCATGGGTGTAAAATTGTGCAGTTAAACCGATTTGCACGGAACTGAATTTTATTTTTTTGCGTGTATCTCTTTCTTCACTACTGAATCAGGCTACAAGCTAGCGTGACTTTGACGCTTATCACAGTCCGATTTTCACGCTTCCAAAGCAATTTTCACCTAAAGGTTTCCTAGAAATGGGTGACTTTTACGCAAGCTCGTAGGGCGCACTTTCTCACGTCTCCCCAGAGAGAGAGAGAGAGAGAGAGAG